GCTAAAGAATAATTAGCAATTAAATACAATTGACAACAACAACAAAAAAGCAGAAGACGAACATAAATTCCATAATATTAACTAATAGAAAACCAGTATTATTAACCAGTATTTTGAATAAATGTCGAATATATATATATATATATATACATATATTCGAAAATAAAGAAGGTGCTTGCAAAAATTATATTCGAACACAAATCAGTTGCATTCTGTTAACGAACGATTTCAAAACAATGAAGTTGGAGGTAGGACACAATGTTTAAATTAAAAAAATATATTTAAATAAATACAAATAGTATTCAAAATATTGATTTACTATTGATTGTAAAAAACATTATAAATATATTTTAATTCAAATTATAACATTTCCATATTTTTGGATCATATTTCAGACCCTTTTTGTCTTTATAGTGCTGGCCATAGCATTGATGCCACCATCAGCAGAACCTGCGGTTTTAAGAGAATACAGGTACATCTTCCCCCCAAAATATTGTTAAATTAATATTTAATTTTATTTCTATTTCTAGTGTCTTTATACGTCGTGGTTTGAGGGAAGAAACCGTATCTCTGGAAGATGACAAGGATTTGGTGATCAAAGGACAACAGATACAATTATTACCATTGCCAACGGATAAGAAACATCTACTAAAATTGGAAATTGAATATGTTGGCAATAAGGATGGCTATCGAGCGCATTATAATCTGACACAGGAAGAAAATGTAGAAACACTTCGGCTGAGTCCATCTACGCTTAAATCTGTTACAGGTTAATCAGAAATACGATTTTTTAACATTTAATAAAAGAAATTAAATATTTTTTTTTTTTTTATAAAAATAACTGATTAAAATCGAATAGTCTTTGAAAAAATATTTTTAAAAAATCGCTAATTGTAGTCAGATAGTCTATACAAAAACAAACCCTAATTGAAGGTCGGATATATTTACGGAATATTTTGTGTTCAAAATGCAAGCTGCAGATCCTTTAATTTTTTTTAATTTGTCTCGGTTATACTTGGTTTGGCCTGTGGATCTGAAGGCCCTGGTCCAGAAGGCGTAGATTAAGTATCTACGTTATCCAAGATAGATAATTTATCTACGTAATCTAAAAGGCGTAGATAATTTTTCTACGTTATCCAAGATAGATAATTTATCTACGTAATCTAAAAGGCGTAGATAATTTTTCTACGTTATCCAAAAAGCGTAGATAATTTATCTACGTTATCCAAAAGGCGTAGATAATTTATCTACGTTATCCAAAAGGCGTAGATAATTTATCTACGTTATCTGAACTGTGTGGATAATGCTTCTACCTTATCCAGAAAGCATAGATAAAGTATCTACGTTCTCCAAAAGCCGTGAAAAATTTATCTACGTTCTCCAAAAGGCGTGAATAATTTGACTACGTTATTCAAAAGGCGTGGATAATTTATCTACGTTATCCAAATGGCGTGGATAATGTATCTACGTTATCCAAATGGCGTGGATAACGTATCTACGCTATCTGAACTATGTGGCAAATTTTACGGCATTTACATCAGAACTTTTAACCGGGTTAACCTACTTTATGAGGATTTTTTTGGCATATATTCAAAGGAATTGAAAATTTAAACCAACTGGGTTAACCAAATCCGGTTCAATGTAAACGACCTTTTATCCACGTTATCTGAACCATGTAGTATCAACGTTCTCCAAAAGTTGTGGACAATGTATCTGCTATCCAAATAGCATGGATAATGTATCTATGTAATTCGAGTTGTGTGGATAATGTATCCTTATTGTCAAAAAGTGTGGATAATGTATCTGCATTATCTAAAAACATCTTGTTTTTAATTTAAGTTGCCAATCCCTCATTATATTTGGCTTTGAATATCCCTTGAAAAAAATTAGTTGCAAAATCCAAGCTGCAGATCCTTTAAAAATATTTTATTAAAAGAATAACCTTTAAAAAAATGCACGTCTATTGCACTGAAGATCCATAAAAAATAGCTCAAAAGACACTTAAAAAAAAATATTCTCAAAAAAATTCGCACTTATAGTTCGGCTAATCCTCGAAAATCTTTTATCACTTATAGAAATTAATTACAATTTTCAAGAACTTACCGTGTTCAGATTAGATTCCTTTTCCTTGGTTTTTCGAAAAAAATGAATGATTTTTTCAAAATAAGGAAATCAAATAGTTCTCCGATTTGCGGGTGGTCTGGTTCCAAAAAAAATCCGTGTGATGATGTTTCTACTTCTTGTTGTTGTTGCTGAGGATGTTCGTACAACGTTTAGGCATAACAGTTTATACACCAATCGGGAGAGTTGAAAACTAATGAATTTCTATAATTTCGTAAAGTGTATTCCAAAGGTTGTTGATGTTCGATGTGGGTCGATGATGACGCGGCTCCTTGAAATCAAACAGAATTTTTAATGCCGTAGATTTCACAGATAAATTTCCAAAACAAAAAGGGGGCGAAAAGTTTTAAAAACTTAAAATACGTTTAACGTATGCACTGAAGGTAAGGTTGTCGAAAGGGGGGTTGTTGTTGTTGTCATCAATCGAAGTTTTTTTTGGAAGAATTCAGGTTTATTTTTTTAGCTTATAGAAATCTTAGTTTTGTTGTTGTTGGTAGTGATGATGTATAAATGCCTGAAAAGAGAGTGAAGAGAAAAGTGAGAGAAATTAATATACCAATTGTATGCAAGGAGAATGAGAGACTAAAAATTAGGTCATAATTTTTATTGAAAGCGCCGGCAATGAGTGTCACAGTCTGGTAATTAATTTAATTGAAGAAAAGATTGTATGCGAAACAAGAAAAATAGAAGGTTTGCAAATGCCTCTCTTTTCGAGGGTGGTATGAAAAATGCGAGGAAACATGAAATGAGATAAGAAAATATTATTTGATTATCGGATATTATAGATAAAATATCTATGCTATTCGAAAGGTGTTGTTGCAGTATTTAGGTTATCCAAAAAGTCATGGATAATGTATCTGCCCTATCCAAAATGCCAGGCAAGTTATCTTAATTATCTCAAATCGTGGATACATTATCTACATTATCCAAAGGACGTGGAAATTGTATTAACGTTATCCAAAAGTCATAGATAATGTCTCTACGTCATATAAAATGCGTGGATAAATTATCTACATTATACATAAAGGCTTAGATAATTTATCTACGTTGTTTACGTTACCCAAAATGCGTGGATAAAAACTATGAACAAAGTATCTAAGTTATCTAAAAGTCCTAAATATTGTACATACGTTATCTAAAAGTCATAGATATTGTATCTACGTTATCCAAAAAACGTTATCCCCAGGTAGGGATCATTTATCTACATTATTATAATGTATCTATGTTATCCAGAAGGCGTAGATTAATTATCTACGTTATAAAAAATGCATTATACAATGTGTGGATGAAGTATCTACGTCTTTCAAAAGGCGTGGATAATATATCAACTTGAGTGGATAAAGTATCTACGTTATCCAGAAGGCGTGGGGAATTTATATACGTCATCCGTACGTTATCCGTAGGTATGGTCCATTTATCTATATCATCCAAAATGTGTACATGATGTATCTACGCTATCCAAAAGGCGTGGATAATGTATCTACATTATCGAAAAGGCGTGGATAATGTATCTACATTATCTAAAAGGCATGGATAATGTATCTACATTATCCAAAAGGCATGGATAATGTATCCATGCTATCCAGAAGTCATAGATGAAGTGTCTATTTATCCAAAAGGAGTGGAGTATGTATCTGCATTATCCAAATAGCTTGGATAATTTATATATTTTACCCAAAATGCATGGATAATATATCAACATTATCTAAAAGGCATGGATAATGTATCTGAGTTATCCAAGGGGCGTGGATACAGTATCTGCGTTATCCAAAAGGCATGGATACCGTATCTACGTTATCCGTAGGTGTGGTCCATTTATCTATATCATCCAAAAGTGTACATGATGTATCTACGCTATCCAAAAGGCGTGGATAATGTATCTACATTATGTAAAAGGCGTGGATAATGTATCTACATTATCCAAAAGGCATGGATAATATATCTACATTATCCAAAAGGCATGGATAATGTATCCATGCTATCCAGAAGGCATAGATGAAGTGTCTATTTATCCAAAAGGAGTGGAGTATGTATCTGCATTATCCAACTGGCGTGGATAATTTATCTATTTTACCCAAATGTGTGTATAAAGTATCTACGTTATCCAAAATGCGTGGATAATGTATCTACATTATCCAAAATGCGTGGATAATGTATGTATTTATCCAAAATATGTGAATGATATATTTGTGTTATCCAAATGCGTCGATGAAGTATCTACATTATCAAAGTGTCATGGATAATGTATCTGCGTTATCCAAATGGTGTGGATAATTTACCTATTTTATCCAAATGTGTGAATTAAGTATTTACGTTGTCCAAAATATGTACATAGAGTATCTACGTTATCCAACAGGCACGGATAATTTATCTACGTTGTCCAAAAGCCATGGATAATTTATCTACGTTATCCAAAAGTCGTGTATAACGTATCTACGTTATCCACATACATAGTTAAATCATGTTTTTTGTATCTCCGCTATACAAAAGACGTAGATAAATGTACCAATTCTATCCAAAAGACGTTTTCAAGCCAAAACGTACAAATATTGTATCCCTAAGATGTAGGTCATATATGTGCATTTGGATAAATAAATTATTTTTTCGTAAAAGCGATGGTTAAATTAAATTTATATACTGATAACTTTTTATTTTGCATTTTGGTTTTTTTATATATGTAAATTAAAAAAAAAAAACGATTGCGGATGCACATGCTTGTGGTGACAAGCGCAAAAATGTGCACAAAAAAAATAAATACGATAAGGAATTGAAATTTTAAAACTTGGATATTTTAAAATTCAGTTCTTTTCATTTAGCCAACGAGTTAAGAACAATTTTTTGTGAAATTCGAATTAAAAAAAAAATTATAATTGAATCTCATGGAGTATCGCCGACAAATTATTGCCTTAATGGCAATGATTCTATTAACAAATACCTTGACCGCGGCAGACTCAAAACCATCATATTACACCACGGACATTCTACGCTTGGCCAAAGGCTTCGAAATCAAAGCATTTCTCCAAGAAAACCAACCGCCATGTCAAAATTTCTATAAATTTGCCTGCGGTCGTTGGGTACAATCGAATCCAGCACCGAGTGGTGGCAAATCTTCCAACTTGGATCAACGGGTGGAATTATCGTATATTAGAAGATGCGCCGCAATGTTGGCGTCCGACCGTTGCAAAAGTGATTGGAAGGTTTTTAATCAACTAAAAGATTTCTATGCCTCGTGTCTGAACACGGCTATACTGGATGAAAACGGTTTAAAGGATATTGTGTTCATGGCAGAATTCACGGCAGGTTGGCCGGTTGTTAATAATTTCCAGTGGTATCAAAAATATTTCGATTGGTTGTCAGTGGTGGCCACTATGCGTCGAAAAATGGATGTTGATATTTTGATACGATTACAAATTGGTGACCCTTATTGGAATTCAATTCTGCTGGGTGCTCCTAAATTCTATTTGGATCGTGATTCATATTTGCAAGAGGATAAGGAAAGTATACGTTTGGCCTATGTCGCTTCCATTGAGAATCAATTGAGAAGATATTTCCCCAAAATGCCAGAGAAATGGGCTGGCGAAGTGGCCCAACAGGTGTTGGCTGTGGAGAAACGTTTGGCTGAGGGTTTGCCGCCACCCAACAACGATATGAACAAAACTCGATCAATCCCCAGGGAGCTATACCCTTATGAATTCGAAACGTTCAAAGACAGAAAACTAGATATTAAAAATTACTTATTTTCGGTATTTGTAAAAATAATTAACGGCCCAGTTTATTTGGAGGACGAACATTACTTATTCACCTTGGCGGAGGTTATGAACTCAACGCCGACTCTCACCATTGCCAACTATACGATGTGGAAAATTTTGGAGAAATTTGATTTACCCCGTGCCAAAGTGGCCAAAGATTCTCAGTATTGTGTTAATCAACTTAGAGAATATCTACCTGACGCTTTGAATATAATGTTTTTGAATACTTATCCGATCAACGAAATGATCGATGAACTACAATCGGTGTGGAAGGATATTAAGCAAACATTTCACTCGGAATTGGAAAATTCCCAGCACCTAGCATGGATGGAAGCTGTGATAAAACAAAATGCCTTGGAAAGATTGGAAAGCATGGAGCTGAGAATACTTAACGAAACAGAGATGAACGATAGGCATTTGGGAAAAATTGAAATATCTCGCACACATTACCATCAGAATCTGGTAAGACTTTGGAATTACAAGAACGCATTTTATTTGGATCAAGTTAGGGAAAGGGTCAGGGAGCACAGAACGGCGCATACCTTGCCGAAATATGATTATGTGAGAAATAAAATCAATATCCCAGTGGAATTTTTACAAACACATACCCTATGGGAAGCAGCATATCCCCAAGCCATACTCTATAGTACCTTGGGCTACTTGCTGGCACAACAAATGCTCAAGGGCATTGTTTCTTATCTAGGTAATTGGGATGATTCATCACGAAATAAATACACTGAACGTGCGGAATTATTTTTTCAACAATACTGGGAATATAAATTCCCCAAATGGGCACAGAAGAAAAATACAGAATTAATGGACAACTATGTGGCGGATAATGGTGCCCTCAACATTGCCTATAAGGCCTATCAGCAGTGGTCGAGAAATTCTGGCAACAGCGACTTGGAGGAGAAGGAAAAAGTATCCCTTCTCTCCCTGCAGGAATACAATCCAAATCAATTATTTTTTATTACCTTTGCCCAGACATGGTGTGCTGATTATTCGGAGGATATAGCGGAATTTAATGAGACGCCCGAGATGTGGCGTGTCAATGGTGCCTTGGCGAATTCCATTGAATTCGCTCAGGAATTTCAATGTGATTTGGGTGCAGACATGAATCCCGAAGAGAAACGAATTTTATATTAAAAATACAAATTTGAAATTTAAAAATTATATGTATGTGTGTGTGTGTTTACTCATACTTTCAAATAAATGTACAGCTCTGAAAATGCTTTGCAAAATTTTTATTTGGTCTTACTTTAAAAAGGAAGTTTCACAATTCTCTGAAGTTTAAAAAAAAATCTTTAAAAAAATACTTCAAAGGCGTGGATAAAGTATCTTTATTATCCAATAGGCGAGGGCAAAGTATCTTTATTATCCAATAGGCGAGGGTAAAGTATCTCCGTTACCTGAAAGGTTTAGATAATGTATCTATGTTATCCAAAAGGCGTGGATAATGTATGTATGTTATCCAAAGACGTGGATAATGCATCTATTTTAACCAGAATACGTGGATAAAGTATCTATGTTAACCAGAATACGTGGATAATGTATCTACCTTATCTGAACTGCGTGGATAATGTATCTATGTTCTCCAAAAGGCGTGGATAATGTATATATGTTAACCAGAATACATAGATAAAGTGTCAAAGTTATCCAAAGGCGTGGGTAATGTATCTACGTTATACGTTATCCGTTAAAAAAGGCGTGGATAATGTATCTATGTTAACCAGAATACATAGATAAAGTATCTGAGCTATCCAAAGGCGTTTGTAATGTATCTACGTTATCCAAAAAGGCGTGGATAATGCATCTATGTTAACCAGAATACATAGATAAAGTATCTGAGCTATCCAAAGGCGTTGGTAATGTATCTACGTTATCCAAAAAGGCGTGGATAATGTATCTATGTTAACCAGAATACATAGATAAAGTGTCAAAGTTATCCAAAGGCGTGGATAATGTATCTACGTTATCCAAAAAGGCATGGATAATGCATCTATGTTAACCAGAATACATATATAAAGTATCTATGTTATCCAAAGGCGTTGGTAATGTATCTACGTTATCCAAAAAAGCGTGGATAATGTATCTATGTTAACCAGAATACATAGATAAAGTGTCTGAGCTATCCAAAAAGGCGTGGATAACGTATCTATGTTTACCAGAATACATAGATAAAGTATCTACGTTATCCAAAAAGGCGTGGATAACGTATCTATGTTTACCAGAATACATAGATAAAGTATCTACGTTATCCAAAAAGGCGTGGATAATGTATCTACGTTATCCATAATGTCTGCAAAAAGTATCTAAGTTATCCAAAAGGCCTGAATGGACTATATACGTTCTCTAAAAAGTCAATATGTAAAATGTTCATTTTATCTTAAATGTATATATTATGTATCGTCGATGTCTAAAACATAAATTTATATTTTTGTTACATTTTTTTTGTGTTCCCACTCTAATCCAAACTACCCTCGTATTTCAAATATTCGATTAATTAACCAAGTTCCGAAACAAATAAAGACTACTCAATGACATACTAAACTGAATGAATGAATGACAAAACAACAACAACAACAAAAACAATCAAACCATAAACAACTACAAAAACAATTCCAAATGAGATAAGAAATTGAGATTTTAGAAAATATTCAAGTATAAAAATTTCAGTTTATTTTAGTTAGGCAACGCGTAAAGAACATACTTCTGAACCCGAATCAGAAAAAAATAACACCAACAAAATGGAGAATTTCCATAAAATTCTTCTGCTATTAGCTGGCCTGGTGACATTTAGTGTATTAGAAAATGTCTCGGCGATACCGATACAACAAAACTATACCTCCGAACTACTGCGGTTGGCCAAAGGATCCGAAATGAAAGCCTTTTTGAATGAAAATAAACCGCCATGTCAAAATTTCTATAAATTTGCCTGTGGTCGTTGGGCGCATTTAAATCCCGCCCCTGCTCGTGGCAAAAGTTCCCATTTGGGCCAGCTAGCCGAACTGTATAGTAAAAAATGTTCGGAAATGTTATCGATTGAAAGTAAAAGTGATTCGGGTATTGATCACAAGCTGAAAGATTTCTATCAATCGTGTAAGGAAACAGGGCGATTGGACAATGACGGTTTGGAGCATATTGTCAAGGTGGCCGATTTGGCTGGTGGCTGGCCCATTGTCACCAATGCCAATTGGTATGAATCCCGTTACGATTGGTTGGCTGTGGTCGCGAATATGCGTCGCAAATTGGGTGTGGACATTTTGATTGGCATGAAAATCGTAACCGATTTTGTGGAAAAGGATTTGAATCGCATCATGGTCGGTGCACCGAAAATGTATTTGGATCGTGATTCGTATTTGCAAGAGGATAAGGAAAGTTTACGTGTGGCCTATGCCTCATCGATAGAGAATCAGCTGAGACGTTATTTCCCCGATATGCCAGAGGAATGGGCTGCGGAGGTGTCGCAACAGGTATTGGCTGTGGAGAAACGTTTGGCCGAGGGTTTGCCCAATAACAAGGGTTTGACCGTTGAACAGGCAACACGTCTGCGTTACACGGCCGATTTGAAGGCAGCCTATGGCAGTTATGTGGATATAAATCGTTATCTGAATTTGATATTCAATCAAACCATCTATGCCCAGGTGTATGAGTCCCCCGAGGATTATTTCTCCACGTTGATGGATGTTATTAAGACAACTCCCAAGCTGACCATTGCCAACTACACCATGTGGAAGGTTTTGGAGAAGTTTGAATTGCCCCGTGCCAAACTGGCCAAAGATTCGCAATATTGTGTTGGCAAAGTTATGGAATATTTCCCCGACGCCCTGGAAAGCATGTATTTGCGTAACTATCACACCATGCAGATGATCAATGAACTGCAATCGGTGTGGAAGGATATTCGAAAGACATTCCGTTCAGAGATCCACAACTCCCAGCGCCTTACATGGATTGGCGCTGAAACCAAACAGAAAATCACCGAAAAATTGGAAGCCATGGAATTGCAAATTGCCAGCCAAGATTCTCAACATGCCGAACAGATGCTAAAGCTGTTTATACGCCGCACAAATTACTATCAAAATCTCATTGCCATTTGGCAGTGGAAGACGGGTTTAAATTTGGCACAACTCTATGAGCGGCCTCAGGAACCCAAACCGAAATATACCCTACCCAACTATCAGTACGAAACCAATAAAATCCATATCCCAGTGGAATTTTTACAAGTTCGTTTCCTATGGGATCCATCCTATCCCCATTCCATACTCTATGGTACCTTGGGCTACCTGCTAGCTCAACAAATGCTCAAGGGATTTGATTTCCAGGGAAGGAAATATGATAAACATGGCTACCCTAAGGCTTGGTGGGATATTCTCTCTGAAAAGGAATACGACAATCGTGCCCAATGGTTTTTGGAACAATACAAGGAGTATAAATTCCCCAAATGGATGCAAACGGAAGATAAGAAGCTAATCAATACCTATGTGGCAGATAATGGTGCCCTCATCATTGCCTATAAGGCATATCAACAATGGTGGAAAAACATCGCCAACAGTGATGTGGTGGAGCAAGAGAAGCTACCTCTCATGGAGCAATATGGTCAAAATCAATTATTCTTTATAGCCTTTGCCCAGACATGGTGTGCCGATTATTCCGAGGATATAGCGGAATTTGATGATTTGCCGGAGATGTGGCGTGTCATTGGTGCCTTGGCCAATTTCAATGATTTCGCCCGAGAATATCAATGTGAGTTGGGTAATAAAATGAATCCCGAACAAAAGAGATTTTTATATTAAAATTAGGAATCTATTTTAATGTAGTTTTTTTGTAATATTTTTTAGAAATAAAATGCTCAAAATATTTGAAAAATGTGAATTTGTAATTATTGAAGATTATGCTGCTGCTACGGAGTGATAACCCCGGAGTGAACCCTTCTTCTTGAAAGAGGGTGGGGGATATAGTATGGAATCTCAAAATAGTTTTTAAATGATTTCGAATTGCTTATCAAAAGATTTAGTTGAAAATAAGTATATGACCAAGAAGAGGATGGGGGGTAGGCAGGGAGGCTGGCTGTGAAGAAAAGTGAAGTGTTAAAAAAGACAGAGAAGCAGCCGATAAACATACTGAAAGAGTAAACATATTGAAGTACGGACAGCAGAATATGAAGAATATGTTCAGCATTTAAAAAATATTTTTTATAAGGTCCTTAAAATTATTTTTTGTAAGGAACTGCCATAAACGTAGATTTTTTAAAAAAAAAAATTTTTGAAGACCTGCTTTAAGCGTAGATTTTAAAATACATTTTTTTAAAAGACCTGCTATGTTTGTAGATTTTTTTTTAAATATTTTTAAAGGACCTGTTATAAGCATAGATTTTTAAAAACCTTTGTTAAGGACCTAGAAAATATTTCTTTAAAAAATATCCCAATCAGTCATTCCCTTTAGAATTATTTAATTAACAACATTTGGCAACTCTATTCTCAGCTAATGAGATATGATGGACCCATAGATGATTACACTCACACACACACATACACCCATCCATAAACACATAAAAGCTTTTGCAATAAAAAATTGAATTTTGTAAACAAATTCAAAATAAAATCCGACTCTTAGTGATTCAGTTTTAAAGCTCTCTTGGTGTGAAGTGGTGGTGACGAATAAAGACGTAATGGGTGTTACATTCCGCTGGACACACCTACTCAATAGTGTTCAAATCATACTATTGTGGATGTCAACGTCGACATCTAAATGGACTGTGGTCTGTGGTGAAACAACAACATTTCCCATTTACAAACAGGAGGAGGCAATACGAGCCGCCAAAAGTCGCGAAGTTCTGCAATATATGAATTTAAGTGTTAATCCATGTGAGGATTTCTATGAATATGCCTGTGGCAATTGGCCCAAGTATCATTTGCCACCGGCGGGTAAGGAAGATGGCCAGACAATCAAGACCATTTTGGAGGAGAAAATCGAGGAGGATCTACACAATTTACTGGATGAAAATGTCACCCTGGAGGATAGTGCTGCTGCCCGCAGGGTAAAGGTGTTCTATAAAAGCTGTTTGGACGCCCGTCAGGGTGAGGCATCGCACCAGGCATTTCTAAGTGATTTTATTAAGAGCAATGGCGGCTTTCCGGCCATACCGGGTTCGAATTGGTTGGCCCATCATCACAATTATGATTGGCAACATGTTGTGGCCATATTGCGTTATAATTATGGCCTAAGTATCCTCATCGGCATGGATGTGGATAATAATTATCAAACCATGGAGGAGAACAGTTTGTACATGCAGGAACCCTCGACAATGATACCCCGCTCCTTGTGCAATGCCAAGACCTCCCAGCTGATCGATGTCACCGATAAGGCATATGATATGGTGGAACAAGAAGTGGCGGATAATCTACGTTTATGGTTGTCAATGAAAAAGGAAGATGCCCTGCATGTGGCCGCCGATATGGTCACCTTTGAACATGATCTGTGCAAGGCTATGTATATCCATTCCAGTGCAGAGGAGGAGGAAGAATTCATTGGTAGCCTTAAACCGGAGAATCGTACCAAAAATTATGAACGCAAAACTTTGAATAATTTCACTCAGCAATTCAACAACACCTTGGATTTCAATGCCATTGTTTCGAACAGCTTCGGGGTGGGTGTTACCAAACCGGTCTTTATGAAAAGTCCGAAATATTTTGAACAATTGATCCATGTCATCGAGGAGACAGAGGAATACAACAAGACGGTTGTGGCCAATTATATTATGTATCGGGCCTTGACCTACTTCAATTTTCCGCTGAATGATACACCACGCAATCGTCCCGCCTACTGCCTGCAGGTGGTTAAGAAATATTTTCCCAAGGTATTGGGTGATATCTATTATCGGAAATATGCCAATACCATGGATCAGCATAAGTTGAATAGGGTGTTCGAACAGCTGAAGAAAATCATGGAGGAGTCATTGAACAAGGAATGGATTGAGGAGAGCACCCGCCGCTTGGGTAAGAAACGATTATCCCAGTTGTCGTTGCAATTCCCAAACTATGAAAAGTTCTCTCTCAATTTGGAATTTGTTCGCAATGATTTTTGGAAAAATCTACGCCTGATAATGGGTGAGGTGAGGGCCCATGAAGTGAATCGTTTATTTTCTGCCGAAAAACCCATGCCTACAGATGAAGTTCAGGCCTACGAAACCCGAATGGTCTACCGGTCCTATCATCAACGCATCGATATTGGCTGGGGGGTGCTACAGGCTCCCTACTACCAGGCAGCCCTGCCGCATGGCATGCGTTATGCCATGATTGGCCAGAAGCTGGCTCAAACCTTAGCTACCGGTTTCGATGATCTCGGTTGGACAGCCGATAATCCAGATCACAAAATTTGGGATACCCACACCGCTGTGGAATATTACAAACAGGCCAATTGTTTTACCGAACAAATAGGAAATTACCTTTACAATGACCCATTCGGTTTTCAGAATGCCACCAAAATAAGGCGTTTGGTAGCACAGAGTGTCGGCCTCAGCACCGCCTTCAATGCCTATTTGGATTGGCTGTTCTATAAAAATCCCAGCAACGATCATGAAATGCTTTCCAAGGAGACTTTACCCGAATTGGATTTTACCAATACCCAATTGTTTTTCATTGGTTTTGCCCAGGCCCATTGTGAGTCACGTAAGAAACCGAAGAAATTGGATCCGCTGAAATATCAACGTATTAGCCCGTATAGTAAACATAGCCTTGCAAGGTATCAGGTAAATGGTCCCTTGACAAATTTTATAGAATTTTCACGGGAATTTCACTGTCCCATAGGAAGTGAAATGAATGTGGCGGATAAGTGTATAATTTATTGAAAATAAAATTAAATCGCATTTTTATTGTTGTTGTTTTATTTTTTCCGGCCACTGATAAGAAATTAATGCTGTGGCCCATCAATAGGGAAATGTGGAACAAAACGATTTTGATGTCACACTGCATTAGACATGTGATGACAATACAATGAAAAAACCCAAAGAGCGAGTTTGTTCTTATCAATTATTTTATTTTAGGATAGGGTTGCCATGTAAGTTTGGTTTTGACTAAGGTTTCTCGTCTTGACTAGTTCGGCTTGTATACCATCAGCCAATTGATTGCTATTCTTGCCTCATCTTGGCTAGATGGTATTCTATACCGTCATATCGTGTTGGTTCTGGCGTATCTTCTTCACCGTTGCTATTTGATACCAAAGCAGGTGGGTAAGTTGAGCGGAGTAGGCCTGGGCTACCTGTTGTGTTTGCAGCTTTTCGACGTCGAATTTCCGTGTTACATTATACCGCACCTTTAAGACGGGTGCTACAAGGTAATGGTCCGAATCGATATTCGCTCCTCGTATCGATCGAATGTCTAAAACATTGGACGAATGCTTCCCTTCACAACATGGTCAATTTGATTTCTCGTTGCTTGATCAGGAGAAATCCAGGTGGCCTTGTGTATACCCAGAATCTGGTGCTGCTAACTACCATGTGGTTTGCTGCCGCGAATTTAATAAACCTAATGTCGTTGTCGAATGTTTCTTTGTGGAGGCTGAATTTTCCGACAGTGGGGCAAAAAATATTTTCCCTTCCGATTTTTTGCATTAAAATCTCCTGTCATGGCCAGAGCAGCGGTCATATGCAATTTCTAGGCGCTTATAAAAAAAAGTTCTTTGGTCTGTTCATCTTTGTCTTCTGTTGGAGTATGGACGCAAATAAGACTGATGTAGAAGAACTTCGCTTTTATACGGATTATAGCAATTCGCTCATCTACTGGAGTGAATCTGGAGACGAGGTCTTTTATTCTCCTATTAACCATAAATCCGCAGCCAAATTCACGTCTCCTTTCATGGCAGCTGTAATACAGGGTGTAATCATCTGATTTATATACGCCAGTCCCTTTCCATCGCATTTCCTTTAAGTCGTATTATTGACTAAGGCTAAGGCGAAAACTGCGCTTGTTCTATACAACGTGCACACATTCCAAGTGCAGATTCGCAGGTCGTGGGGGTCGTCAACATTGGGGGGTTTGGTTTTCGTTTTCGTTGCATTTTCATAGTAAGAGGGGTTTTCCGATTGTGGCCACTAACCCGAAGCCTCAACCCATTATTTTATAGTTCTTATGGGTGAACTCGCGGAACAAGGGATGATGACCATAGTTACCCCAGGTGACACCGCGGGGAGGTCAGTGTCCACAGTTGAGATGAATGAGGGACCAAGATAAGCCTGGGCTTCGCCATGTTAAAGCCAATCAGGGCCGTTGCTTGGTATCTATCATCCCCTACGTCCCCTAACTGACAAAGCGTCGATTTAAATGTTTTTTAAGTCTCCCTATGAGAGTGTAATATATAAGTTGAAGGTTCTATGTATGCGTGGATTTAAAAAAATATTTTTAAGGTCGTACTGTTTTTAATATATTTTAATAAATTTTTATTTTAATTTTTCTAATTTTAATTTATTGTTAAATAATTAATCTAAAAAATCTAACTAAAAATTCCTACGGAAATCGCTTTCCAAAATCGAACATTTATCCGCCAGATTCATATCGGCACCAATTGGGCAATTAAAATCCAAACCAAATTCTTCATCATTACTGAGCGGACCATTGATATTCAGCCGTTCTGGAGTGTGTAAATCCAGCGGACAACACTGTGATGGCTCAGCGGCGGGTTCCTTCGAATATCGATCTGCACAACGCATTTGAGCAAAATTCACAAAAAACAATTGGGTGTTGCTGAAATTCATTTTCGGTAAGGTTTCAAATTTCAGATCGGCATTACCGACATCTTGTTTATCGAGCCAATTATTATAGGCCACAAAGGCTATGCTTAGCGCAGTAGAATCTGCCATAAAATCTTTCAATTGACTGGCATTACGAAATACTTCGGGGGTATTGAAGAAATAACTGCTCACTTGGGATCGGAAACATTCCCGTTGTTGGCTGAGGAGGTCATCGAAGTGGGATGATGTAAAAGGCTGATGGCTTTTGTCCGGTGAAAATTGCTCATCAATGTAGTGTTTGATCAAAACCCGAGCTATCGTATATCCTAGAGAGGAATATTTTAGCGATTTTGGATAATTGTAGGAATAGAAGGGTGGCTGTAGCAAGCCCCAACCAAATTGTAAGGTTTTCTCATTACTGGCCATGTGGGTGTCAAAAGCTTGAACAATGTTGGAGGCTAACATCGCCTGTTGGGCCTGACGTCCCCGTTGAGGCCCGGGTGTGAGGAGAGCCTGCTGTTGCAGGGCATTGCTAATTGTTATCGATTTTAAAATATCCCAATAATTTCCATTTGTTTTAATTGCTGTATAGCTGTTCGGTTCTACACCGCCAACCTGATACGTAGGCTCACTTATTTGCAGGGTGTCAATATTTTTACGTAACGATCTTGGTATTGCCTCTTTTATATCACGAAAAATGCTCACCACATCCTGTTTAACATATTCCCGCATTTGAGCTGGAATTGTCATTTGATATAGATTACCCATATATTCGGGAAATACCTGCATAACCTTACGAACACAATAGGGTTTACGATCGATTTGGGGTAGTGTTATTTCCGAGAGGGCTCGATAAATGATATAGTTGGCAAATGAAGGTTTGCGTCCACTTATACTTGTCAAATATTGTAAATATTCAGGGTTATGGATTTCGAAATCGGTGCGACCCTGGCCCTGTGGCTGGCCCATACACAGCTGAACAAAATTTATTAATTTCTGATTACTTTCCAGTTCCATTAGTTTTTGATTTCTTCGAAAGTGATGGGCCTGAGGTGAGCGTCCCAGCCTGCGGGGTGTTTTATTGGCACCATAATTTGTGGGATTTTCCAATGGCACTCGAACATCAGTCTCAACTTCTTCTACCTCCTCGCCATTGCCATTATTCACTTCGAGTATATCATCTTTCCTCATGAATTTACACAAATCAAATTCGAAGCGTTGAATATCTCCAGCCAGGCGGGTGGCATCAGCCTCCGCAAAATTAAACCACAATTGTAATTTCTCTTTGATTTCCATTTGTATTGTTTCGAATATGTCATCCTCTTCATCAATTTGTGGTGAGGCCTCAGCGTTACACAATTCCGCTGGCATTATGGTGCTTGAAGGTTCCCTCACCACGGGACGTCCTGTGTTGGGGGCCGTGGAAAATGCAATCAAGATATCCAAATTATAATCCAATTTCAAACGTGCCAAAATTTCAATCCACTGGTAGGAACGTTCCCGCCATGTATCCTTTATGTCCGGCAGTCCACCGTAATTGGCCACAAATCGTTTTATAAATAATTTTTCCTCATTCCAATTGGTCGAAAGACAGGTTCTATAAAATTTATTCACCACTGGGTGAGGATTTACCGCGGGGTTATCCAAGCGCCTTTGCAGTTGGTGTACCACTTTCCGTTCCAAAAGACTGGGCAGTGTAATCAATTCGCCCTCTTGGACATCTGTCATATTTTGCACCTGCAACCAATTACCACAGGCATAATCATAAAAATCCGCACAAGGGTCTTGTTCCAAATTCATAAATTTGAGCATTTCTCCACCTGTGTAACGGCGTTCTGTAGCACTCTGCAAGTGGGACAAGCCACCAACAATATTGGCACCACCGGCAGCCATGCCCACACCTCCTCCTCCTCCACCACCACCTGGCACAAATCCTGGAGCATTTTGATAATTCATACTATGACGATTCACCGTCTGTTGACTGCGATAGTTCCGATTATAACCTTGGCCCAGACATTGGTCGATCATGCTTATCATCACCAAGATTGCGACCACGCCGCTGAATATCACCCGCATTATTCGACAATTTTGTAACATTTTCACGCGAAGACTTTCGAAATGATACTGAATTTTGATTTTCAGAATTATTTTGTTTTGAAACTGAAAGTTGAATTTTTTTTTCAGTAATATTTACTGTTGTATCTGACGGCGGATTCACAATTATATTGGCGATAAGAAAATAAATTCTTCTCTTTTTTTAAAATGTATTTAGTTCAAGTTTATTTTGTATGAGTGAAGTGATGCTGCTACCCGACGGTCGCAAAGGCTGTTGTTGTCGATTGAAATACGTGAAAATTTTGAGTCATACAATTGACTGGTAGATTTTTATTAAGATAATCGAAATAAAATCAGAGAAATTAAAAGAATAGATTTCTACGGCTAGACCTCGGTCAAATCCTAGACCCCAGCAGAGAATTTTTTTATTTAATTGAAAAGAGAAAAAATCACGCCTATAGGTTATGCTTTAAAAGTTCCACGCCTATAGGTTATGCTTTAAAAGATCCACGCCTATAGGTTATGCTTTAAAAAATGCACGCCTATAGGTTATGCTTTAAAAGTTCCACGCCTATAGGTTATGCTTTAAAAGTTCCACGCCTATAGGTTATGCTTTAAAAGATCCACGCCTATAGGTTATGCTTTAAAAAATCCACGCCTATAGGTTATGCTTTAAAAGATCCACGCCTATAGGTTATTCTTTAAAAGATCCACGCCTATAGGTTATGCTTTAAAAGATCCATGCCTACAGGTTATGATTTAAAAAATCCACGCCTATAGGTTATACTTTAAAAATTCCACGCCTATAGGTTAATGTTTAAAAAATCCACGCTTATATTAGGAGTTTAAAAAATCCCTGCATCCATTAAATCTCCAAAAAATATTTTTAAAAAATCCAAGCTTATATTATTAGGATCCACTCTTATAGCTCTGGTTAGGTATAGAACCCTGAGAATCGTATTTTTTATTTCCTCAAAATATTTTTTTGCACTTTTTGTAGCTGATTAAAAATTTAAACTTGAACTAATTTTTTGTTCTGCTCTTGTTGTTATTATTACATTACGGAAGCCTCAGGCTCATAATAAATTTCTTATCAACAATTTGTTTTTTTCTCGTTCTCCATAGAGAAAAAAATCTGAAATTCCGTATAGCTTTCAAAATTCTAAAAACAATTCCATCTTAGTTTCAATTCTAATGTCTGCGGGTGAAAATGTTACAAAAAGTTTTCAAAACAAATGCGGTTTTATTTGGTTTCGTGTTGATAATAAGCCTTCGTATTCGGGGCAGTGAACAGAGTCTGGGTCAAGGTCATCATGGCCAAAAAGAACGACAATTGCAGAGTCAGGCCCAACAGCAGCAGCAACAGCAGAACAATGACCTGCAATTGGCTAGGCAGCAATTGCGAGCTTTCCATGAGAGCAAGGCCAGGGAAATGTTGAAATTTATGAATCTGCAGCAGGAGCCTTGTAATGACTTTTACGAATTTAGTTGCGGCAAATGGTGGGAAGCACAAAATACCACTTTGCTGCGAGGTCAGGATCGTTGGAGTATGAAAGATGTTATGGATCATCAATTGCTAATGCAAGTGCAAAATATTCTAAATGGCCCAAGATCTTCGACGGAATATGATGATACATCGGCCAAACATTTCTATAGAACCTGCAATCAGGCCTCATCAGGGGAGCAGGGGGAATTTATTAAGAAATTTGTGGAATATTATGGAGGATTGCCGTATGTCAAGGACAGCCACTGGCAGGAGAAGCAGTACAGCTGGATTGATGTCATCGGACAATTGAAGCATCGCTACAATTTAGATATCCTAATCACCCTTACCATACCCCGAACCACCGTGGGTCGGGCCATACCAATACCAATTTTAGAGGAGCCCAAGAGGACGGTGTTACCATGGCATTTGTGCAGCTATTTGGCCACCCATGAAATGGAAGAGAAGGATGAAATTTTCAATGACATTCAAAGGGAAATTAAAGATAATCTGCGGTCCTGGTTGGACCTAGAGGAAACCGATGCCATACGCTTGGCGGGGGATATTCAGCGTTTCGAATTTGAATTGTGTAAATATATGAAGAAACGGGAATTGCTGGATCTACCCAATGGAGGTGATGGATTAAATAAAACCCGCAAACGCTACAATATGGTCGTGCCGAACAACTTCCATGGTGTGATGCAAAATCTGAATAATAATCCGCAATCGGTTAGTGTCTGGGAAAATAAATACGGTTTGGAATTTCATCGTTTTGTTCAGATCAGTTTGGGTAAGGGCCATTCGATACCACGAGAATTCTACTTGCGGGATGAAGAATATTTTCAACATCTGAACACCATAGCCAGGAAGGGTCTGACACCCTCTTTTGCCTATTACATTATGTATAGAGCCTTGAGTGAAATTACCTTACCAAAGGACCAGGCGCCACGTAGCAATGAACGGAACCTCTACTGTATTCGTAAAACTTTGGAATTTTTCCCCGACACCCTGGGTGGTATCTATCAGAATAAATACCGCAAAGTAGAGGTGCTCAATGATTTACGTGACATTTTCAAACATGTTCGCGAAGCCTTTGGCGAGAGTATCGATACGAATACCTATTGGTTACATGATAGCTTTCGCAAGGATATTAAATTGCGAACCCTATCGTGGAAACTGAAGGAACCAGAATTCCGCAGCCAAAATGATGGAGGGGTGTTCGAAGTGAAATATCAAAATAATCCTCGTAGCTATTGGCAGGCATTGGATGCGGTGATGGAAAGGAATGCTCAACAATATCTGCAACAATTAAGTGGTTACCCCGGTGCAATAAAACAGACCCTCGACGAGCCGGTCTTCACCTATACCACAAATGCCGAAGCACGGCTGCAATTCAGTTGGTCTTATTTGCAGCCGCCCTACTACTCCCTCAATTATCCTAAGTCCCTAAAATTCTCCTCCGTGGGTTTTCTCATGGCTCGAGAATTAATACGCCACTATGATCAACAGGGTTGGCATGACAATCCCCCACCCCTGGTCAATGCCTGGAATTTCGATATACACGATGAATTCAATAAAATCAAAGAATGTTTTCGCATACAGGCAAGTAATTATTTACATAATTCTCCTAACATTTATCGCAATGGTAGCCAGTTGAGAGATTTTGTGGCGGACACCAGTGCTGTGGGTATTGCCTTTTCGGCGTACATGAAATGGTTGGACGATCAGGATGCTCTCAATGAAGAATTGAAATATGAAACTTTGCCAGGTATGGATTTCACAAATAGTCAATTATTTTTTATCAACTATGCTCAGATGCAATGTGCGGCAGGACGTAATCGAGATCCAGCAGCTGCTTCAGAATATTTCCCCTTGGCACGGCACACAGTGGAACGTTTGACCATAAATGGTCCGTTATGGAATGGTTTGGAATTTGGTAGAGATTTTAATTGCCCGCTGGGGTCACATATGAATGTTGATGATAAATGTTTGACTTTTTAATAAAAATTATTTAGAAAAAATTAATAAAAATTTGTGTTTTCAATTAAAATAAAATATTTTAAAAAAATATTCAGAATAAAAATTCAAGATCATAATTTTTATATCCATGTTAGAGCCGGGCTTGGAAAAAATAATGTTTAAAAAATCTAGGCCTTAGGCAGGACCTACAAAAATATATTTTTAAACATCTACGCCTATGTAAAAATGATCTAGTAAAATATATTTTTAGTAATTTACACCTAAGGCAGGAAAAATTATCAATAATATTTTTCTTTTAATAAACAAAAAAAAATGAGTTTTATTAAAAATAAAATTCCGAGAAAATATTCCAATTCAGCAAAGCTGAATTAAATTTTAAAGGTATAAAATATTAGTTAAAAAGGTTTTCCAAAAGTTTCTTCAAAAATACATAAATTCAGCTTAGCTGAATATCAATTTTCTTTATATACACTTTATATTTAGTAATGTAACTTATGATTTTTTTCATAATTATTTAATTCAGCTCAGCTGAAATAAATTTTGAGGGTATAATATACTAATTAAAAAGGGTTTCGTAAAATTTCTTCAAAAAAATATCAATTCAGCTAAGCTGAATTTTAATTTTCTTCATATACACTTTATATTTAGTAATTTAACATATGATTTTTTCATAATTATTTAATTCAGCTCAGCTGAATTTTGTTTTAGGGACATAAAATACTATATAAGCTGATTTTCTTAAACATTCTTCACAAAGGCATATATTCAGTCTAGCTGAATTCCACTTTCTTAATATAAAATTTATATTTTGTAAAGTTACATTTATTTTCTTCATACACATTCCAATTCAGCTCAGCTGAATTTCAGTTTTATCATAATATACTTTTATGTAAGTGGGATTCAGAAAGTTTTCTTAAAAAAATTACACATTCAGCGGTACTAAATTGAACTTTTCAACAAATATTTCTTAGTTTAGGCGTAATTATCTATATTACGGTATACCTAATTAAGAAGAATTAAAAATCAGCAATGTTTAATGTATTAATATATTGTTCAAGTCAGCTGAATTGATATGATTTTGTTTATTAAATAAAGTTTTATGGATTCCCCATGTAAATATTTAAATTCAGCTAAGCTGAATGACATTTCCATAAAGGATATTAAAATGTTAATATAATTTACAGAAATTTCTTAGCTAAAAATTCCAATTCAGCTAAGATAAAATGGATTTTTATAAGAAATATTGTTAATTTAATAAAAATAATATTCACAGCTGGTCTAAAGATTTTTCTTTAGAAAAGTAATCTGTAGCTACCAGTTAGCCTTGCTGAATTATTTTTGTAAGCCAGTATACCTTTTATATGTACCAAATACACAATTCAGCAAGATATTTTTTAAAAGACTTATCAATTCAGCACGCCCATAACAACCTAAATATCACTATTTCAACTCAATATCTTGAAAAAACATCTCTTTATGCCCCCATTGTTCTTAAGCATAATTTGTATGTACTTTTCTCCTCCTTATACATAACCTTGAAAAACAAAACAATTTTCCTTTTCATTTGAGCAGAAATAGCGTCTCCTCCCCTTGACACATGCTACCAAAGATACCGTTTACACACCAAAGAGCAAGCAGGTTTTAAGTACCCATTTAAAAATGAAAATTTATTTTTCATATTATTTAGCTTGTTATGGGCTACACCATGATTGTGTTGAAAGCCCCGACACTAGTTGTTTTTGTTGTAAAAAATGTAAAAAATTACCATCCATAAAATATGGCAAAATATGGATGGTAAATTCAACAACAAGAAAATTTTTACAATCAAATTGCGTGTTCAAAATAATATATATAAAGAAAATTACATACACACATATTTTAAATTTACTAGCAGTGCATGGTAGGTAGCTAACTTGGTACTGCATTAAACCGTTAAAAAAAAGTATTTAAAAGAAACTATTTTCTAGTTCAGCAGCCAGCCAGTCAGCCTTTGTTGTGTTTTACAAACGACGATGAACGGCATATCAGATATTCAATAATTTGTTTACTACACATTACCACTCATTGAAGAGAGAGACAGAGTGAAAGAGAGAACGAACGAGCGTGACGGTATGAGTTTTGTTTACATTTATACTTGACCTAAAAGTATGCAATATAAAAGTAAACAATAAAAATATATAATGGCAGCAATGCAGTGTGTCATATACACTGAGGGGTTTTGGTAGTGATGCAAGTTTTGAAATAAATGAAAATTTATTGCATGTAAACACAATCACACACACATATATAAATATACATACATTTCTAAATTAAATTTTGAAAATAATTTTTTTGTAGGGAAGGGTTACATTGTATTCAGCTGACTAATAAAAATAGATTAGGGTAAAATTAAAAAATTTGTATTTTATTAAATACTTGCCAAAAAAAAGATTGCTGAATAAAATAATAATAAAAAATTAACAGATTTTTTGAGCTGAATTTCATCTTTATTCTAAAATTAAAAATGTAGCTTATGAAAAATATATTTTACTTCCAAAAATAAAAATTCAGCTTGGCTTAATATGATTATTATAAATTTTATAATTCAGCACGCTTGAAACTAATTTTGATCATCAAAATGGCAATTCAGCAAGGCTAAACATTTTTTGTTTATAAACAGACATTTTTAATAACACTTTAACTGAGCTTAATTATATTTATTTTTTCTAAAGTAACAATTTTTCAACTGCGCTAAATATTATTTTATTCCAAACTAATTTAATTCTAGAATAAATTTTGTTTATTTTCTTTAAAATAGTAATTCAGCTAGGCTGAATAATATTTTTGGTATAAAAAGAGCAATTCAGCTAGTCTGAATAATATTTTTGTTATATGAATAGCAATTCAGATAGGCTGGATATTATTTTTTGTAAAAAAAAAAATCAATTCTGATACTACTTTTAGTATAAAAAGACCAATACAGCTAGGCTGAATAACATTTTTGTTATAAAAAGAGCAATTCAGCTAGGCTGAATAATATTTTTGGTATAAAAAAAGCTATTCAGCTAAACTGAATAGTATTTTTTTGTAAAAAAATAGCAATTCTGTGATACTATTTAAAATTTCAAATCGGTTTTTTTAATTATTTTTTTTTATCACAAATTATAATTCAGCTTAGCTGAATTCCACATGAATTCACAAAATAACAATTCAGCAAGGCTGAAATAAACTTTAAATTTTTAAATTGAATACAATTTTTATCGAAAAAATTGCAATTCAGCTAGGCTGAAAATAATTTTTATTCTCCCAAATAAAAATGTCAATTATTTAAATTGAAATTTTTACAACATTATGCTGAATTTGAACCTTAATATAACATTTACAGCAATTCAGCTAAGCTGAATAATACTTTTGGTGTAAAATCGGTAATTCAGTGATGATATTTAAATAATATTGTAAATACAAAGATAAAATTTCTTTTGTTGGAATTAATTTTTTTATCACCAAATAATAATTTGGCTTAGCTGAATTCCATTTTTATGTTCTTAAAATAAAAATTCAGCAAGACTGAATTAAATTTTTAGTGCAAAAAACATAATTCAGCTCGTCTGAATAAACCTTTGTATAAAAAATTGCAATTCAGCTGTGAAATGAATTTTTGTTCTCCCAAATAAAATGTCAGTAGTTTGAGGTCAAACACAGATTTTTTTATAAAAATTTGCAATTCTGCTAGGCCGAAATAAATTCTGAATGCAAAATTAGCAATTCAGCTAAGCTAAATTTGATCTATAATATTAAGAACAAACAATTCAGCAAGACTGAATTACATATTAAATACAGCATTAATAATTTAACTAAGTTGAATTTAATTCCATGTAATTTAATGTAAAAACAATCAATTTAGTTATGCTGAATTTGATTTTTAATATAGAATAAGCTAATACAAAAATAATACAAAATTATCAATCCGATTAAGCTAAATTGCATTTTTATTGTTATTCAGCACAGCTGAATTAAATTTTTAATGTAGATAAAAAATAAACAAATTTGTTTTCAAAATAACACTTCTTTATGGCTGAATTAGCAATTTCAACATAAATTCAATATATTGATGTGGCTGAATAATTGCTGTATAATGATATGTTTATAAAAACGTCAATTCAGCAAAGCTGAATTGTATTCTTGGAAGGAATTTTATTCGTTGGAGGAATATAATTACAAGATTTGCGTTAGTTATTCTAGCCTTAGACGACATGTGGAAGATTTTCATTCATAAGAAGTCCGAAATGGTTATCTTTTAGGTTCATAAGACCTGTGAAAGGACTTAGAGCTATACAAAGACCTGTGATATATCTTCTAGTCATAAAATACATGTGGAAGTTCTTGTAGCTATGGGAGGTCTGTGGAAGGTCTTTTAGTTATTGATGGTCTGTGGCACTTATTCTATTTATAGAAGACCTCTGGAAGGTCTTCTAGCTATAGCAGATATGTATAAGGTCTATAAAAGCTATAAAAGGCCGGTAATAGGTTCTCAATATATGTAAGGCTTGTTCTTGCAGGATGTCTGTAGAAAGTTTTCTAGCTATAGGGGATATGTGAAAGGTTTTAAAGCTATCAAGGACCGGTAATAAGTCTATAGGAGGTCTGTGGAAGGACTTGTAGTTATTGATGGCCTGTGGGAGTCATTCTAGTTATAGAAGACAGGTGGAAGTTCTTCTAACTATAAGAGATATGCGAAAGGTCTTTAGCTATAAAAGGCCGGTAATTGGTCTTAAAAATATATAAGACTTGTGGAAGTTCTTGCAGGAAGTCTGTGAAAGGTCTTCTAGCTATAGAAGATCTGTGGTAGTTCTTCTAGTTATAGAAGACCTGTGGAAGGTCGTTTAGCTTTAGGAAATATGTAAAAGGTCTTAAAACTATAAATGACCGGTAATAGATTTTTCAATCTATAGATATGGTCTGCTAGGCATAAAGCACATTGAGAAGATACTTTGGAAGGTCTTCTGTCTTTGGAGAACCTGGGAAAGGTCTTCTGCCTTTGG